GGACAACCTTATCAACAATGAAGAGGACATGGAAGAACTCAGCAAGAGTGGGATTCTTATCAACTGGCTCAACCCACATGACACGACACAGTTCTTTAAGATGCTATACCATGATGCTTTTTTGAAAGAGTTTCATTACCAGAAGCTTTGCTGGGAAGTGAATGAATATCAGCAGAAATTGTGGCCTAAATGGCGAACTTTTTATACCCACAATTATTTTGCGAAGCCGTGGGCCATTGTTTCTCAGATTGTTGCTGCTATCCTTCTCGTCCTAGCTTTCTTGCAAACCATTTATTCCATGAAGTGATCAGTACTTGTTTTAATACATCATGTTAGAGACAAACAAAAATTGTCATGAGTTAGTGATATGTAATATTCGTGATATGGGGACTCTGTACTTTCAATGAATCTCTTATGAGGAATTTGGTTAAAATATGAAGTTTTCTCAATCTCACACCTAGGCATTTTGTCACACACCATGCAAGCAACATTAACTTTACTAAAGCTCACAACAATGCTGGGAAATTTATGGTTATAACATTTTATCTTATAAAGTTGGTAGGTTTTAACTTCTCACATTATATTATAACATTTTTAGCCATTCACCTATACGAATTAAAGAAAATAACTCTCACCTAACATCAGGTTATAACGTTCTATTAGTTCTGTTAACTGACTGTTAACATCTGTTAGCATTCCATTATAGAAAATATTAAATTTAAATTCGATTTTATTTGTTAGTTGCATTAACGAAATGCTAACGGATGCTAACAGTCAGTTAACAAAGCTAATAGTCAGTTAACAGAATTTATAATCAACTAATAAAACTAACAGAACATTAATAACATGATGTTAAGTGAGGGTTATTTTCTTCAATTCATACAGATAAGGAACTAAAAGTGTCATAGTATAAGGTGAGGGGTTAAACCTATCAACTTTGTAAAGTAAAAGGCTAAAAGTGTTATAGTATAAGGTTAGAGGCTAAAACTTACTAATTTTGTAAGGTGAGGGGTTAAAAGGTGGTTTTAGCCTACTCCGAGTGACATGATCATGTAAAACTGTTGCAATAGTGACACAAAACATTTTAAAGAGAATGATTAATTAACGCCTCAACCCATCATTTTTCATCTCTGTGAATATTATTTAATATTATTTTTTCTCTTATTTACTTTAGTTTAGTACTATTTTCTCATATTTTTTGTGGTGAGGAACAATACTGATATGCTAGAATGTAAAGAAGGAAAGCCAAGAAACAACAATGATATGTAGCAGATATGAAGATTAAAGTTCAAGTAACAACAGTTACATGCATCAAGCCTTAGATACCATTCTAGTCATAGCTCATACCTGAACAAAGTAGCATGATTTGAATGAGATCTCTTAGGAATTTTTTATTTAAATTGTTGGATTGTCCCCTTAAAAACAGTACTATCATGTATAAGTTGTTGAAGAATGAAGCAAAGAATAAAGGACCGAAATCTCAGTTCCAAGGTGGGAAAGGAATTACATGCTTTTTGGGCTTTCTGGGTGGAAAGTGAAATCAGTTAACATTATATATACTTCTATTCACATTTCTATTTTAAATCAAAAGGCAGAACCAATCATGCATAATTTAAGATCTCAAGGGGCGAATACAACTTTTGTTGTATGGCTAAGATTTAAAAAATAAAAAAATAAAAGTGAAGGATTAAACAGAATTTGGAATCCATTTTTGTTGAATTGGAAATAAATGAAAATAATCACCAGTTCATCACCGTGGATCTATATATGCATATATGCATTCCCTTGTGCATGCTGTAAACCAATACCAAAACACATCCTTAATATCTAGGCTAGATGTTTACGGGGAATTATTGTCCCGGCGGCCCTTAACCCTTCAACCCTTTACCATAACCATAAATGTTACATCAATCTGCATGAGATTAATGGGCCCAGCCCATGAGAACCTGGCTCAAACCCAAGGATTCTTGAGGAATATTTCAAGTAATTGATTTGCTCGGAAAATACTCTGAAATGAACAGATAGTGTAATTGCAACGAACCAGAAGTCCTTCTACAGTCCGCAACTGCACTTCGGAATAACCTGCAAAGCCCCGAGGTGGACCTCGGGGTAAACACTCCGATGCTTAAGTTAGCAATAATCGGGGTTACCTTTAGAGCGGAGATAAAAGAAGCTTAGGGTAGGTTTCAATTACCTTTTGACGTGGCCCGGAGGGGGTATTTATAGAATTCAATGAGGAACCCACGTGGCATGCCAAGCAAGATAGTCGGAGCCTGACGTGTCTATCCAAACGATTATTCCGGGATCGGGAATTTGAGAGGTATTCAGATGCACGGGCGTCCACCGTTCTTGCTGTGCCGCTCATCATAAGGAATCAGGTGTGGACATGCTTATTGTCATTATCATGCAGCTATTTGAGTGGGAAGCTTCGGATTCATTCCTCACTTCGGTCATAAAGAAATTACTGTAGCAGTCCGAGGTTTGGCACCTCGGCCCTGTCCTTACACTATTCCCCCCCCGGAAGTCATTCACTTGTGAATGATGGTGCTGGGGATAATGAGGAGAGTGTATGAACAAAGAGAATACAGATAAGTTATGGAAGTATAAGGGTGAAAGCTGTATCTTTAATTTTAAATATAGCCGTAGCTAATAATGAAAGATGTAACGATGGGTCATACTGAGGTGCCTTAAATAAAGTATAATCAGGGCGATCATGGCCGTAATCATGGGAAAAACAATGACCGGAGTCATAACGTAGTCAAGGTCATGATAAAAAATGATGACTGGAGTTATAAAGGCTGGGGTCGTGATGGAAAAAGATGACCGGAGTCATAATAGCCGGAGCTGTAATAAAATATGATGACCGGAGTCATAATGGCCGTAGCCGTAATGAAATGTGATGACCGTAGTCATAATGGCCGGAGCCGTAATAAAATGTGATGACCGTAGTCATAATGGCCGGAGCCGTGGTAGAATATGTGACATGTAGTCACAGTAATCAGGACCGAAGTAAAACATGTGTTCTCTGTGGCCGGAGCCGAAGTAAAATAGGTAAAAAAGTATTAAGTATATAAGTGAACAGAAGTGCTGAGCTAGGCTCAAGCATAAAGACGGAAGTCAAAATGGCCAGGGTCATAAGAAAATATAATGACTGAGGTCATGATGGCCGTAGCCGAAATAAAATATGTGATATTGAATTACTGTGGCCGAAGCCGATGTGAAATGTAATGCAGCATTATTGTGGTTGAAGCCGAGGTGAAACACTTGCACAATTGAGAATATGCAAAAGGGAACAGAGATGTTAAAATGGGCGTAGGTGGGCCCATGTAAAACTGACATAGGTGTGACAGTTGTCCTTGGGATGACGTGCGCAATAAATGCGGCCGTAAAAAGATAACTGCAACAGTTAAACGGGCAAAAAATTAAAAAACGAACCGTCAAATTCAAAACGGTATCGTTTAATGTTGTCCGTCGAATTCTAAACGGTGTGAATAGGAACCGTTAGATTAAATGAATCTCAGCCATTGAGATCTAATTTTGCCCAGAGGTATAAATAGGCATTTTTTCTGTAGAAAAAAGTTTACTTGCATTTCTTTTTCTGCAAAACTTCTGCGAGAAGCTTCATTGTGCATCTTCTGTTCGTGAACTGCGGTAACAACTGGGGATCTCTACATCAACTCTTTCAAAACCGAAATCAGGTATTGTACCCGAACTTCTGATTTTTGAGTTAATCGAAGTGTCTCTCTCCTTTCTCCCTTTCTGTGATTGGTTTAGAGTCCCCTGAAGGAAGTTAGGGTTAGAGGCGAGAAGGATCTTGAATGTGCAACAACGGGGTTTTTGTTTGTTTATTTATTTATTTATTTATTTTTTAAAAGATCCTGATTTATTCCTCCCCCCTACTTCGTGTAGAGTTTGAGAAAATGTCGTCAGAAAGAACACAGAGTATAGTAGGGAGTGAGGTGGAACCCCTGGACTATGGGAGGATGGACACAGAGAGTAGTCCATCTCCAACTAGTTCGGAGGAAACAGTGGAGGGGGTGAGAGGAGATGAAGTGGTGGAGGTTGGGGGGGGTGAGGTGGTAGAGGTTGGGGGGAATGAGGTGATGGGGGTTGGGGTAGATAGCATACCCATCATCGTAGTAAAAGTAGAAGGTAATGGGGAAAGAGGTTATGATAGAAATGCAGAGATAGTGGAGGAAGTGAAGCAGTACCGATCTGAACTAAGGACCAGGGATGACCTGTGTCACTTAGTAGAAACGTACGAGATCTCTTCTCGGGTATTAGTTAGGCCAGCTGGGGTAGAGGAGA